TTGTGCGTGTTTCCCTTGATGTCTCCATGGTTCTGGTCTGTGTTACATTTTTAGTCGGATTTTTGGATTTTTCCTCTATTATTTGTGTTTGCATTAAAACTACAAGAAATCCCCTCAGCCTCTCTGCCTCTGCATTTGGGTCCTCTAAACCAGCGGTCCCCAACCACCGGGCAGCGGACCGGTACCGGTCCGTTGGTCATTTCGTACCGGGCCGAACAGAAAAAAAAAAATAAAAATATATATATATATAAAATTTATCGATGATCAGAGTCTGATTGATGTTTTATTTTGAAAAATATTTAAAAAAATTGCGGTATTCACTCCCAATTACATCAGTCAGTGCATCTGTGCCTCTTGACACAGGTTAATTCAGTTCAAGACTCATCCTATCTATAACATTCTATCTTTGTGAAGCGGCATTTTCTGCTGTTACAGCGACCAAAACAAAGCTACGGAGCAGACTGGACATCAGGAGCACACTTCGTCTGTCATTGTTTCCAATTACGCCCAGATGGGACCAGCTTGTTGTTTTACTTTTATGCTGTTTGTATTTGATTTTACGCCAGTCGTATCATTTTACTTGATCGTATCCCCCCCACCCACCCCACCTGCCATATAGCGGTCCGTGGTGCAAAAAAGGTCGGGGACCGCTGCTCTAACCACAACCAAAACGTGACAGAGCCTGGTTCTGCTGGAGGTTTCTTCCTGATAAAGGGGAGTTTTTCTGTCCACTGTCGCTACAAGCATGCTTGGTGTAAGGGATTGCTGTTGTGTCAATGAGTCGATGCAATCAACTGGTTTTCCTTGGAAAGAAAACTTTGAATCAATCTGACTGAATGATCTGGTTGAATTGTCTCTGTAAAGAGCCTTGAGATTACATATAAACTGAATAGAGCTGGCAGGTTACATTTCATTAAAAACGTGAAAACTACAGCATTTATCAGCATTATGAGTTTTAGAGCTGGAAAAATTATCGCAGCACCTATTCCAGAAATTTTGAAACAGTGTATAAGCTGTAATTATTTATTTTAGTGGTACGTCCTAATCCAGAGAAACACACTGAAATAATCCTGTTTCTATATAACAGGACAGAGACCAGCTCATTTTTGAAACAGTATGTTACACATGTTAGAACGGCCCAGTCAAAGTTCTGCGACCAGATCTGAAAACTGCTGTTCTAAAGACTCTGCATATGATCTGACTGAGCTTGAGCTCTCTGACAAAGAAAAAGGGCAAACATTTTAGTCACTAGATCTTTAAAGCTGGTAGAGATTAACTATAAAAGACTTGCAGCAAGTGAGGCAGGGCCGGGTTTGCCAACAGGTGACACAGGCGACTGCCAGGGGAGCCATCTGCTGGACAGTTGCAGAAATAAAAGAGAGAAATATGGTTTTAATTTTGCACTCCATTCTCAGGGTTCTTATCTTTAAGGTTTACATGTATTCATTAATGTTGCCTTTCAAAGTTGTTGTCATATCCCTAATATTTGAGTTTTGCTGTTGACTGTACAGCTTTACGTTACATTTGACTTTGTACCCAAAGTTGCTCTCCTACCTTGGGCACCAAAGAACCAAGAGCCGGCCCTGAAAAGGTGCCGTCACTGGGGGGGTGAATATTTTTGCATAATGCCATTTTCAGTTTTTTATTTGTTAAAAAAAAGAAAGAAAACCATATATATTTTTTTTATACCTGATAACTGTATTTAACTTGTGTTTGTCTTTCAAATAAAAATCTAATAAAATCTATATTTTGCTTGTGGTTGTAATGTATCAATTCCAGGGGTATGAATAATTTTTCAAGCCAATGTATAAGTCATGCAGTCTGCGGGACTATAAAAAACAGCTAAAGGGGGTTATTAACTTAAAAAAAAAAAAGAATTATGAATTTTTGCATTTCTTTGTAAGGATAATTTTTGCAGCAATATTCTGAAAAGCTGGTTATACCCTGACAAAACCTAGCAAAACAAAATATGAATGGGAAATAATACAAATCCTAACATCTGTCAGCAGTTCATAGGGTTGTTTTTGTGGGGTTTAGGTGACATCTTGACTCCCGGCGGCTCCAAACAACTGGAACAAAGATTAAAGCGGAAGGCAGAGGTAAGGGAAATAATGACGTGAAGCCAAGGTGCCACATAAGCACTTTTTAGGGACCTCACAGTGTGCCAAACCACTAAGGATGTACAAGAAACAGGCACAGCTGGTCCACATGTGAGGAATTTGATAATCTACAGTTTCCTCCACAGTTTGAGTCTGTTTAGACTTGCAGGGCTTGTAAGAAAAACACACAGTAGGTACAAATAGACGGCAAATACAGTGGAGAAGCCACCAGATGGGATACATGTTATCACAGCTGATAGGGAACGACTGTGATCCATTTATCATTCATTGAGTTTTAAAGTGCTGAATCTGATTTTATCTAATCTCATGTTTTAACAACAAAAGCACATTTAAACCTTATTATAGTTCAGATGGATGATACATATATTTTAATAGTAGTTGTGATGTTTTCAGTTAATATCAAGACTTACTCTTAAGTATCATTAAAGCTCCTTAAACGGTTGTGTAAAAATAGCTCAAAACTAAACATTGTTTTCTGTGTAAATCTAATAATCAAATTAAAATGTATAAATATTAGTGGTTGCAGCCCAATTAGGACCAGTAACAAGGTTTTTGCTTAAGGTTTACTAATTGGAATTTCTTTTTGATTCTCATTTGCCTCTACAAACTTTGATGTTGTACAATATGCCAATATTTCTTATTATAAACAATATATAATAAACCACATGAAGTACCCAGGTGAGAGGAAGCTTGCTGGGCACTGAAAGTGCTTGGCTCCTTCAAGTTCTCTCAGGATGGGTCTGCTGGGGGTCTTGACCATTGTGGAGCTGGTGACAGGCAGGTGGTCCATGCTGCCAACTTGACACCCATCCCCGTCTATCCCATATTTACTGAATTTCCAAAAGTATTTGCTCACCTGCCCTCACGCTCATATGAGGATAAGTGACATCCCATTCCTAATCCAGAAGGGTTGAATGTGACGTCAGTCTACTTTATTCAGCCAGAGCTGCTTCAACTCTTCATGGAAGGATGTCCACATGGTTTAGTAGAATGTTTGGGGAAATTTTCCAAAAGCATGAGGTCACACGCTGATGTTGGACGAGAAGACCTGGCTCTCATTCTTCACTCTAATTCCTCCTAAAGGTGTTCTACCAGGTTGAGGTCAGGTCTCTGTGAAGGCCAGTAAAGTTCATCCACACCAGACTCTGTCATCCATGTCTTAATGGACCTTGCTTTGTGCTCTGGTGCATTTGTATTGGAAGCTTCAAACTGTTTTCATAAAGTTTGGAGCATGGAAATGTCCAAATGTCTCAATACGCTGAAGCATCCAAAGTTCCTTTCACTGAAACCAGGCTCGGACTGGTAATCTGTGATACCGGCCATTTACCCGGTGGGTCGGTCCCCTCCGGTCGAATTACCTACCTGTGACAGTAAACAACTCAAGAAGTAATACAATGCTAACTACCTAAATGATGCATGCAGTATATAAAGCCCTTCCTTGTCATGCACTCCACACAGAACACGTCTCCAATGCTATGGAGTCCAGTGGAGCTGTGCTTTATACCACTGCCTCTAATTACACCCACTTGATGTATGCTTGGAGGTGTGTAGTGATTGACTCTTGAGGAAGTCAGTGACCTCTTTCTACCATCTGCTTCAGCATCTGCTGACCCCACTCAGATAATGTGGCCTAACACTTGGTGGACGAGATTCTATCAGTCCCAACCTCCCATTTTGTAGGGATTTGGCTAAAGGAATACTTAGCAGAGAGGAAATTTGGTGACTGGATTTGTTGCATAGGTGGCATCCTTCCAGTTGCAGCTCTGGAATTCACTATACGGCTGAAAGCGACCCATTCTTTCACAAAGGTTTATAACAGCAGTGTGCACCCCAGGTGCTCGATTTTATACACCTGTGGCCATGGAAGTGGTTGGAACACCAGATTTGTATAATTTGGACAAGCAAATAGTTATATATAGAGTATATAACACTAGGGTCTAAGTGGATGTTGCTGGACTTTGGGGAGAACCTGCCAGTGTTCCCATTTTCTTTGCTTTGACTGCCTGGATGTTAGTTTTAACGCTGATCAGAAACATAGAGCTGGGAGAAAAGAACTTCAGCATAATTGTATTGCCACCATGTGTAACAGTTTGTGTCAAAGGGTTTGACAGCCTGACCTCAACCCTGGATTTTTCTTCAACTTATAATTTGAGTTAATAAACTAAAATGGTTTAAGGCCATCGGTTTCCTCGAATCATTTTAGTTTAACTTGTCAGGTTCAGATAAAGGTCAGAGGGAGAACAGAGGGAGCCATTGCTGTAACAAACCCTATTGTGAACTTTGCTTTGCTGGTTAAAGGTCTACCAGAGGCTCAGAGCTTCTCTGATTAGCTGTAATAAATGTAAGGCTTCTTTTACTGCTGTTTTTTTGTCTCTTTCCCCTCTCAAAGGGAATTTGATTTGCCATTTATTTGAATGATGTCTATATGATTGCATATTTCATCCTTTCTTTGAACCAAGGTGCAAAGAGGGAAGCTTTCTTTTTGTGTTCAACTCTTTTTCAGGTTATTTGCAGCCTCTCTGCTTATATGAAAGCTTAGAAAGGGAAGTCTCCGATAATTGATTTGTCAACGCATGAAAGATCTGCAATGAAGACAATTAAAAATGACAATCTGAAGCAAAAAAATCAAACTGCATCTCAAGATTTATTCTTTTTTCCCCATGTCTCTATTTCCCGTCCCATTACACCTTCACTGGATATTTACAGGCCACGTTAACACAGATTCTTGTGTGTAATTATGTTTGGTAACAGATGTTCCTGATAGCCTCCAAGCCTGCAATCCTGGTTGGAGCAGATTCAAACACGACTGAGCTAAAAACATACTCATAATTTTCTCTAGAGTTGGAATGTGAGCGAATCCCAGTTTTCACAAACACCTGGTTCACACTGAGAAACATAAAGACTTTATTTTAATAGCATACTGGATCGTTAATATGAAAGATGTTGTACAAATACATTTCTGTTATCTACACTTCATCAGAATCCCAAAGATGATCGGACGCTGTGATCACTGCAGGTCGTCGTCGTCGAACAGATCCTCAAAGTCTGTGAACGGAAAGATGGAGACAAAGAGAGATCAGCAAGCTGAAAATTAGTCCAGCTGTTTTCCTCCAGACTCCTACCTTCTCAGCTAATTATCTTGCATATAATAATTTTTCCCCCCCCATCTCCCACTCAAGCTGAGACACTCGCTTTAAATGAGCCAAAACTCCTCCCATACAGAAGCAAATACATGCTGGCATTGATCCTAAATGCTTTTCCTACTTTGTAGGCACTTTTAAAATAAGAAACATCAAACACAGCTTCGGTATCCACCCCCGTATGTTGGATATGGTTATATAATCTCTTGGAGAAAAGGTGATTTTTGTTTTTATTGCAAGACAAATTTAAATACAGCACTTAATATTATTGAGATGAGGCCTTAAAAAAAAAAAGAGTCATTCTTAGTTTTTCCCTCTCTGTTTGCTACTTTTTGATGATTTTTTCCCCGTCTTACAGGATTTAAAGTACAGGTTATCACTTTCTAATACTACCTGATCCTATCTGAACCTTTTAAACTTTCATTGGTGATCGGCGATGTTTTGCAGCATATCTAGCAGGGATTATCTGTTTTTTATTCACAGTTTCACTAGTCAGCTGCTCCAGTAACTGCCTAATAAAATCGCTTAGCAAAATGTAATTAATTTAGAAAAATTAGCTCCAAATGATAAAAATAAAAATATAAACACACATTTTGGCTACTTTCACACTGCGAGCATTAATGCTCATTTTTTATTTTTTTTTTTTTTTGTGAAATCCGATTCTGTGTCGTGGTTTTTTTTACATTTTCAAATATATATGACTTGTATGTGATATCCTGTGTGAGCTGCATTTATAAAACGTAAGTGTCCCGCATGGGCAGTGGAGGACGCAATGACGTTAAAAACAAACGTGCCGTTTATGGAAGTAAACATGGATAGTAGTGCTGGAGCGCAGCTTTCATTTCCTTTCCAACCTCAGCCAGTGTTATTTACACAGGTTGAAAGGTTAAAAGTAAAGACTGCTCTCCACACCATCGTCTGCCATGGTTGTTTTTCTTTGCAGAATTTATCTATGGGATAAGTGACAATCTCAAGATGTGTCAAACAAAAAAATTAAGGTCATCTTCAGCTCCTTGCATCAATATCAACCCCTTTTCATTTTCAATGCATTTTATTGTGATTTTATGTGAGGGACCAATGCAAAGCGACACAATTGAGAAGCAGAAGGAAAATGTTTTTTTCTTTTTTCTAACAAACTACACCTGAGAAACTCAGTGCGTTTGTTTTTATCCTTCCCCTTTCTTTGATACCCTTAAATAAAACACTGCGGTACAAAGTGTTAAACTTAACTTTGGTTTTATTAAGTTAGATTGTGGGAAAATCCAACTATCCCCCTTTAACAACGGAGCTTTCAGACACTTAGACAGGTATGGGGCATTGCAGGCTAACAAAATAATCCGAACGACCCCCATTCCAAAGGGGGGGATCCATTTGTCCGTTTCAATTTGCATGTTTTCAAAACAAAAACAAGTTTCCAATGGGCTGCTGTATAAACCTCAAACTCTATGCTATTCCAAACATTTTGAATTGAAAAAGCTTCCTGGATGGGAAGCGAAACATCTTCAAACTTGGGAACAAACCAGTGGATTGTTTTTAATTTTCTTTTTTTGAAATGCCTATGACCTGGATGACGGAGAATCTTCACCAGCATACTGTGGGGGGAAAAAATGGTAAAAATGAATATTTTTTTTTAGGAATTGACATTTAGGCAATTTATAATTGATGTAAGAGTCGGTATCAATGGCCACGTCTAAGAGCGCAAACAGGGAATCTGACTGCCCGTTTCTATCGCCTACATCATCATTTGCATATTTAAAAAAAACAATTGACGTGTAAACACTGTTAGAGGGTTTAAGGACGGGTTAAAAAAGCAAACAAAATAATTAGCATGTAGAAGTATGCAAGCTGTTTTATTTAAAAATGAATACATAAAAAGAGGAAGGCAGGTCGTTAGAGTGCAAAAGCCCAGCAGAGTATCTGACTTCTCATGGCCTGGGGAAAGAAACCGTCTCTGTGGAGGTTCATTGCTGCTATTAGCACTCATCCCTGAGAGTAGGAGTTTGAACAGCTTCTAGCCAGGATGAGTGGGGTCAGCAGGGGTGTTAGTGGCTCGTTTTGTTTGGCTCTAGACAGCTCAGAGATAGAGGGAAGGTCGATGCTGTAGATCCACTCTCTAGATCTTGTTTGGCTGCAGTTTGGACCCGTCCTTGTTTGGTAGATGAGCAAAACAACAATGGATGTGGATG